ATTCACCTAGCCCATGCGCCGATTACCAGCTCCGTAGCTGAATGCTGAGAAGCGATGAAAGTAAAGGTAATCTCTGAAAACTGATGGACTACTCGCAATCAGCATAGTGGTGAATTCCGAATTCAAAACCACCATTCGAATTTGCTTGGCAAAGGGCGAGGCGCGTCTTCGGATACATACCGGGCTTTTCCAACGCAGTGTCGCTTGCATCAGCATCTGTGCTCCGGCGCTGGACTCTGCAGCTCTTCCGCGAACATGCTCTCTGATCACTTCCCAAGGGCGAGCGTGGGAAAGGCGGAGCCTCAATCGATTGAAAGTGATCGGAGAGCATGTTTGCGGAAGAGACGCAGAGTCCAGCGCGGGAGTGGAGATGCTGATACAAACGACGCTGCGTTTGATAAACCCTGTAGAGTGCCTATTCGTGGGGTTAGGTGTACGGTAGGCAGTCAATTTCACGTTTTTCTTAAATTTTAGCTCGAATGAATTACTCAATGTGCTGATTGCAGAGGCCACATTCTGCTGAGCATAATGGATACGGTAGGTATAGTGCATGCTGCAGACATACGGTGACTGGCAAATCAAGAGTCCAAACAGATTTAAGCAGTTCACCTTCAGCCTTACATTTAAGGCACCTCAACGGGTTGCCACCGGCGCAGTTAATGACTGCTTTTCGGTGAAGAAAAGTTAAATAGCGCTTAGGAGACGTTGCAGCAGATGAATAAAATCTTTTTAGGCAGCAAACCGAATAAAAGCTCTAAACAAAATTTTACACATATCCGTGCAAAATGAGCTCTTAAATTATACCTACCGTATTGCTGCAGCACTCAACAGAATGTGACCTCTGGAATCAGCACAGTGAATAATCGATCTACACTGAACTTTTAAAGAGAACGTGAAATTGACTGCATACCGTATATCTACTTTACACTAAGCAGAAGTGCGCCTCGCCAAACTGACTTTTCAAATCCCGAATTTTGGAATATTGCATTTGGGGGTTTATATTAAAATGCGACGCGAATTTCGACAACCGCGTCGCCGAAATTAGGTCGCCTGAGTCCAGCAGCCACCGCCTTCAAATTCCGAGCGGTATGTACATTGCACAGCACGCGCGGCGTTCCACGATATTTGCTTCGCATGCGATTTGCCAGCCATTCCCCTTTGTCTTCTTGCATTTTTGGGACCCCTCATACTTCGCCAAGTCTAGTTTTACACATATCCGTGCAGAATGAGCTCTTAAATTATACCTACCGTATTGCTGCAGCACTCAACAGAATGTGGCCTCTGGAATCAGCACAGTGAATAATCGATCTACACTGAACTTTTAAAGAGAACGTGAAATTGACTGCCTACCGTACACCTAACCCCACGACTAGGCACCTCCATATGCTGGAAGATGCGCCTCGCCGAGCTGAGTTGAATGGTACCCTTATATATAGAATTCATAAATTTTGAATCAAGATAAGGTCTTTTTTTATAAAAGGTTAGGCGTTGCGCGACAAAGTTAGGTGACTTTTGCCGCTTTTCCGCCGACTTTTGCCGCGCGACGCGGCAAAAGTCACCTAACTGCGGCGGCGCCGCGTGAGTTAAGTGCCGCCGCCATTTTTTTTCACAAATTACGGGTGGTATTGTATATAAGTTCGTCAACTCTTATTCGCAGTAAATATTTATACTTACTACTACATATAAACTATTGTCTAAAAGTTAACGTGAATTTTCAGTGCGGCAAAAAATGGACTGAAGACCTTCGCGATTTAGAATGATGGAACGCTCCTATGCAGATAATGAATCAAAATCTTCTATTTAATCATCTGTACACCTAAGCCTATATACATACCCTCTGTCATGGCACGCGTATTCATTATCAATGTAAGGCAAAACAATTTTTTATTTCCTCTTTGTTTGTAAAGACCAACCATATACTTTGTACTCCTTTTTTTCATTGAAACTAAATACATATTTCCAAAAACTTTGATGAACTTCTCTAAAAACTGACACCTTTCTATCTTCTTTTGTTCTAATGTGTTTTGTGCGCATAAGCCGTCGAATAACGATTGAACGTGCTGATTCAACGTCGAGAGGATGCGTCCGAAAGGGAGAGCGCAGACACAAGGTAGCGTACGATGACATCATTTTATCGCGACAACCAATAGTGGCATGCGATGTACGGTAGTTGCCAGGTTGTTGCATTACGCATTGACTTTGATAACTACAAAAGGCGGCTTCGGGAAGTCATATGAATCTGATTTGTTAAAAAGACTTGGTTTTTGGGTATTCAGTTCAGTTATGCTTTTAAGAGGTGCTCAAGATAGATTTCACGTGGCTTTATTTCGATAGACATGAATTATCATTTGATTGAAAGCTACACTATCAGAATGGAACTTAAAACTTCGTTTCCTAGTTGGCTGCTTTTTGTCAAATGTGAAAGTGCAAAAGATTTGGAGAGAGAAAGAGAACCTTGGAAGTCTTTTTTTTTTGTTCTCAAGTCTAATCGAACGTATATCGATTTGAAACCTCCATGCTTCTTCCAAAGTTAGTGATAAATGAGAGACGAAAACAAGAGATCTAGAGCTCACCTGACAACAGAAAATTTATGACTGTTGGAGGTAGATCAACCTGACTAACAGCAGCACCTCTAAGCGCAACGAAAAACTGGGATGGTAGTGGCACAAAGTATGTAAAAAGGTTTGTGGAGATATCAACTGGCACCGACTAACACGAAAAAATCGCTGTTACATGAAAAACTCGGTTTTGTCGCAGAAAAAAAGGAACGTATGCAGAGAGATTGTATGTGGGATGTTGTAGAGCGCAGATGCAAAACGAAACACCGTCTCTAGAAGTGCCGGCTAGCCGAGCTTGGCACGAGCACCGTATGCTACGAGAAGATGCAAGCTGAGGACATGTGGGATCATCAGAATCATCGACTACTGTGCTTGTCGCGAGTGGGGAGAGGGTTTCCGGCAGATCCAAGGGGAAAATGTGCCTATTTTCAATTTTGCGATGTATGATAAGGCGTTCGAATTTGATCCAACACGTTTTCACTGCGAAGTTGACATAACAATTGATGCATCCTAGCTGTAATTCATCAGTGATGCCCTTTGGACTGGCTGCTCCCACACTAAACGATTCCTCTTACGAGAAACTTGAAAAGTGTCCGCGCCGTTCCACGCCGCTCCTCGCACAAACAACCATGTCGAAACCACTGTATCGATCGTTCAGTAGTTAGCACCATTGTGAAAACATGCATTCCAGTTTATGAACTTCAACACTTCAATTCTTTGGCGAAACAACTTTTACGAGGTAGCATTGCCACCTCCAGTTTGCAGAAAACTTCCTCCTTCTTGCACGCTTTCTTACAGATAGGTAGCACAGGCTTCTCAAAAAAAATGCTCGGACGGATTACTACTTGCAAGCTCACTTTTTTGTTGCGAGAGTTGAAGCATTTCTGACATGCTACGCGCACAAGGACTGACCTCTATAACGCCACAGCCTACTCATCAAACAGCAGTAAAGTAAAAAAAAAACACTTCTCGCAATGTATCAGCACCATAGCGAGTACTCTCTTTGGGGACACGTCTCTTTATTGATCAGGCATGAACATATGCTTTGAGAAATGTGGTTGAACCTCATGAAAATCAAAAGGGACACACCGGCGTAGGCTTCTTCTCCGCTTCAAATGACTCAAAGAATAGATTATCAACGTTCAAAACGTTCATAGCTTCTGTGCGATATGATCGCACAATGAAAAGACGAATTAACAGTTTCAGAAGAATGGAAGATAGACAGCAGATGACGATTGGTACGTTTTTACGGTCGCCTCCAGTGAGGGCGGAGCAGCTAACATTCGAATTTCGTTTCGACTATGCTGTTCAAAGGCATGGGAACCCGAGTCGGAAGATTTGAATTTTCTCGAACGAAGAAACGAAACCCTGTGATGTTTTTGCAGCTTCTCGCCTTCAAGCACGGCACTCAGCAAAATACAGCACAGGAAACGCTACTCGTTGTTCTAGACATTTGTCTCTCTGCTGCATTCTTGGAAAACACGAAACTTCCGGAGAAGAGGCACCTGCGCTTAATTACAAAAGGAAGTAATAGGCCATCAAGAATTGCCAAGATTTATACATATATCTTGTTTATTCTTCCCAAACTTTTGTTAGCAAAGCCTATATATTTCTCGGAAAACAGAATACTAGTGCTTCATGCAGTATTAGGGGAATACTTAAAAAAAAGAAAAGGCTTTTTCTTACGCCTTCCATTTGCTGGTTAAAAATGACCAGTTGTCAAAAATTCATTTTTTGCACTTTTACTGTGATTTAGCACATTAGCTGGATTACTGACACTGTTCTTCAGATCGGCTTTTCTTTCTCTCCAGAAACATTCTGACGACTGCCGCGTTTGCGCTTCCAAACCAAAAAAATGCAAACATTAGCAAAAAAATAGCGACAGAGCAAAAATTATCTGCTTTCAGAAAAACGAGAGAAAACAGAGGACATAAGACGTTCAAAAATTGCCAACTGGCGACTAGGTGACGACTTGCTGTAGCGTAATTGCAAAAACACTGCTTACAGCAATCCAGCCACTTCAGCCAACCTCATCATAAGCACCGATCGCAAACGTATGAAACATCAGTGCTCAAGATTCTCTGATACTTAATAAAAAGGCAAACAGTCCTCAGAATCCCAAAATCCTCCACGCTTTCTTCCTAGAAATGAAATTTTGGCATGTTAGCATTCTTCCAGCAGTAACAAGAAATTTTACCGAACGCTCTTTTTCTATTGCAATGCCACTTGTACGTAATCAATCACTGTATGAAGAAGTTCTCATTGCATAAGATGGGAATATTCATTCGTCATAATCACAATTCTTCAACACTATATAAAGTACCCAACAAATTCATACCAAATGTGTTTTTTTTTTTGAGTTTGGACCAAGTGGGAGAAAAGCTCTTACCTTTCAAAACCGAAAGATACAAAATTTTCGAACTGATTCTGCCACTGCTGTTGTTTTTCGTGCACCTTCAACACCAACTAAAAGTGATAACTATTTTTTATCCACTGTATTTGTTATTGCATAGAGGCATCAACCCCACTGATACTTTTGTGAGTAATCTTATCTACCAATGACAAATGTTCTATTATCAGACAGAACTCACAAGGGAGGTCTGTTTAGTCGAAGTGGCCTTTTCACATAAAATTGATACTTCTATAGAGAACATCGAACGCTGATTCCAAATATGTCTTCTTTATCGCCGAGCTCCTCTGGATGTCGAGTTATGGGCGTTTTTTGAGTGAAAAATTGAATGCATTATTGGACCAAAATTCGACAGAACTGCTGAAATAGTCCAAAGTTAATTGTCAAAGCACTTCGTTCAAACAATACCCCTTCTGTCTAAAACACTCTACTTAACCTGCTCTAGGGAGCGCTGAAACACCGTAAAATTTGATTTTACCTGGATTACGCGTTCAGTGTGCGCACTAAGAAAATATTCTTAACTCGGCATACAGATGCGCTCGGCAAATAATGAAATCAGATTTGGAATCACGGTTTGATCCCCTTCAAAGTAATATAAGGCTCATTTTGAAAGGTCACTTCGACTAATCGGACCTTCCTTGTCAGTGTGATTGTTGATGAAATCGAACTAAGAGTTCGAAAACTGCTTTTTTGAACTTTCCCATTTAAAGACAAGTAACACATTAGTAAGCAGCTTAGGAGACAAACTCGAATTTTACGGTGCAGACGGCTACTTTGTAAGCGCCTCATATTCAGTGATGTCCCTCAACAAAATTTTCTTTTATGAAGACATATTGAAGTTTCTTATGTATAATATCGAGTTCCTTAAAAATTGTTTGCAAAATAGACAGAATGCTTTGAGCGAGTGCGTTGGCGGCACTGTATCAGCGCATCCGGCTCACCATACCGACTTTGCATGTGACCAATGACCGACTCCAACATACAGTACTCCATAACAATCACATAATTCAGGGACATTAGCTTTCATTCAATACTCTCTGAATGCTGCCCCCTTGGGAAATTCCGTTAACGATTAGCCCTAGCAAAAACATCCGTCTATGATCCACCTAACTCATCCTAAGTGGCTAAGAGAGAAAAACTAACACATAAGCTTAGAGTGTGCCATTGGTGAATTATGCACTCATTTTTCCCTTTATGTGACACCCGCAGCACTTTCGTTGATCCTTCGGCGACAAAAGTGGCGAATAAAGCTTTCAATCAATCGATTGACTCGCCTAAGGACGGATATGCTCACGTGCGAAGCGCATCCTTTGCGCGCGCGCTGTGCAAAACGAAGAACGCTCGTTTCAGCAGTAAAACAGGCGAGCGAAAAGTGTAAGAAAACGCGCGATGCGAGAATTTTTAATTGCACATATTGTCAGTCACGCTTCGCACGCCTTTGGGACGCGTAAGGGGCGCAGACATCGTGGGCGGCCGGAATCCGAGCAGTTTTTCACCGCAAAGAACTTGTCGTATCGGAGTTCTTGCACAATAAGTACGGCAAACATCTATTTCGCTCTGCAATGGATCAAAACATAACAGATTGTGGTCGTGAAAGTGATCTTGGCTTAGCAAATTTGAACCTTTAGCATTTGCGGGTAACTATATCAATGAGTCTAAAAGCTGGCACAGCATCTACATTAACAATCGAGTATTTTACATGGAGGCACAGCAGTAAGCAGCAATTTACGACAGGCTCATCCTTTGTCTCTGCTAATAAGGATTGGCATTTGTAAAAATAGCTAAATGAACAACATGATGAATGACGAACAGGCTGTCACAACGCTTGCAGATTGAATAATGACAGACAAACTCACTAAATCCCCATTAAAGGCTTCAAACATGATAACAAAATTTCACAAACCTATCCAGTGCTTCGAGCTATGATGGAGTTTGACTCCTTGAGATTCGTTGACGTTGTGATCGCTAAGCGACCGTGGTAGCTCTAGGAGCCTGAAATACCGAGTCAAAATTCTACTTTGTATCAAGTGTCTTCATGTATCTAAGCGTGTCAGGAAGAACAACGGGGGCAATTCATCGTCATAAGTATATACTTTAGAGCGTACAAGCAAAACATACACAGCGATTGGAAAAACCAATGTCCGATGGAAGTGTGTTTCTTACACTTGTTCTCGCCACAACTATCGCCGCGAACAGTGAAAAAACACTCCTCGTAGTTCTTTCTCAACGAAGAGCAGGTGAGAACACTGTTTGGCCTCCATATTTTGCAGATAACAAGCGAGGCTTGGCCACCGAAATCCGATATTCACATTGGATCTGCAGTATTCTCATGGATTTGCTCATCGAGAGTACGATACAATCGACTTGCTTCGGTGTTCAGACTTTTAGATCGATATCGTATCGTACAAAAACGACCGTACTTTGGGACCAGTTCTCACAGACCTGCTGCTTCAGCGACTGCTGCATGCTCTCACTCTGTTTACCCTATAAACCCATAAAGATAAATGCTCACTCACAAATATACTCTTACACATGCACCCACAAACGCAACCACCAACACCATAAATTGGCGCACAGGAAGAAGGCCTCTAGCAAGCGATTGACTTCATCTAAAAAGTCTGCAGAAGCAGGTAGATCGAGTGTCTGACTAGCCCTTGCCGCTCCTTCCGCCCGAACTAGACACATTTACGCATACTTCTGCTATTGATGAGAAAGACTCGCAAGGTGTATACGAAAGAACAGAAATATGGTAAAAAGGCTCCCTTATAAGAATGTAACATCTAAAGAATGTTCCGATATTGAAGATTATCGAAAAATATTTAAAAAAAACTTTCGCAATAAGAGTGAGTGGTACCGTCAAACAACACACTACGTCCTAATCATTTCTCTTCAAGCGAGGAAAATTTGGTTTGATCCTTTTTATTGAGAACGATAATCCTCATGAAAATTACAGCGATTTTGTAATGACTAGATCAGAGCACTAAATTGGTTTCAGCAACGTTTGTGTTGAAATTTCGACACGAATATGGCAAGAGTGGAAACAGAAGTAGCTTATGTGGGGGAAACATGGGCATGAAGCCTGTAATCTCAATCATAAAACAGTAACCCCCCCCCCTTTCCCGCCCTCATCAAAACGTAAGTCCCCTTGCAATTTCTTCGAGTGTTGTGAACAATTTTCGCAGTAGTTTAGCGGCTATATACTCACAAAAATGTGACAGGGCGATAAATTTTGCGCTCTTAAAAAGAGCGCGGTTCACGTTTTTCATAAAAGGCCGACATTTCGCTTAGTTCTCGTCGAGTACACAAAACAGGTCACTATGAGGGGCTTTTTCGCATAAAATTCTCTACAGTTCAAGTTGGTTCTCTATGGGACATGAAGGACAACATGATGTTTTTCTTTCAAGGAAAACATGGCGACCACCTGCGGTAGTTGTTTGCGATAACTTTTTTTGGGCTCGTGTAGTAGTAAGAGTAAGTAAGCATGGACAGGCTCTACGAAAACCGAGGCCAAGAAGTCATCAGTAAAGTGAGTTCGGAATTGATCATGTGAAAATAAACATCTGATGAAAATGTTAATTTTATTAACTTGATTTTTATTCACTTTTATGTAAATGGTCCTTACAAAAGGAGAAAGATCGCAAACTGCCAAGCTTCCTAGTAGCATGGAATATATGTTTTTGGGTGTCAGCTCATTATATAAATAAACATCAAGTATTCTAGCACAGGAAGCGTTCGGTTTTATTTTGAAAAATCGTTAAGCGGTAGAGCAGTGTTCCAAATATATACTATACAGTTCCCTTTTCTTTGATAGTGATCCAAAATTCCGAAGGTTTCCAGCGTCACACATAAACCTGCGTGATAAAAGCTGCTAGGGAAGAAAATATACGGATGTCAAAGAAGATATGTCAACGGGATATAGACATACTGTCGCACGTCTGCGACTATTTTTGATTTCCTAGAAAAAACCACAACATGTTCGGAAACACAAGAGTAAGAACAAGAGCAATAAGAAGTAGCTCTGGTTATAGCGGCGGCAAAGAAGACGGAGGGCCGCGGTGCGTTACAACGCAGCTATACGCACAAAAAAGCTACATTAGTCTTAGGATTCGCGATAATAACTCTCGAAACCAGCGTGCCGTTCGCTCCCGTATTACTTCGTAATAATCCCCGGCTGCTGCAGCCGATTTTATGCCACCCCAGTGATTTCGACTTCGTTACGGTAGGTATCACGCCCGAGTAACGTGATACTTGGGTACTCTTCTCCCAAAGCACTGTACGTATGCTGACTTTCGTGTGCGTGACCCTATCGCAAAGAATTATTTTGAGTTTTTCTCAGTTGATTTTTCCTTGCGAAACTATGCTTTTGGCAAATTTCTTATTCAAGTGTTTTATTGAGATGTCCTCAATTCCGCCTAGATTATTTGTTGTGTTGTTTGATTTTTGCCTTGTACGCGACAATCGGTGACAAAAAAAGTAGTGGCGAGCGCTTAGGAAAAGTTAACTAGTCACAAAACATCCATGTAACAGTACTGAGGGGGGGGGGCTCGAAAATCGCTTGCGATATTTCTGAAAGTTATTTACATGAGCTATAAATATGTATGTGTGACTTGTTCCTACTGTTAAAGGCATGAGATTTCGGAGACATGTGCCCGCGAATTCTGGGAAGCATATCAAAAATTGTACACCACTGTTCATGAAATTAGGCTGGAGCATAAACAACTCACCGCCTACATTTGCGCATCATTCACGAACTGCGTTGTTATCACTTCTATGATATGTGAAACAATGGCACAATGGCGTTGAAAGATATTTTGCGGTCACCTCGATCTTACTGTGTCAAAAGACACAGATTTACTTAGATTAAAATTACAAAACTTTTTCTGAGAAAAAAAGCTTCCAAGCAAGATCTTAGGTAAGCCGCAGTAAGATCGAGGTGACTGCAAAATATCCTCTATAGCCTTGTCTAGGATAAATCCCAATATGCTTCTGTGAAAAACCGTATTCAAGAAATTGCACTCTATTGAACTCAGTCTAGTAAATCTTGACAGATTCGCTCACAATAGTGAAGCTATCTTTACACATCTTTACACTTCACATATAAGTTATCTTTACATCTGCATCTGTAAACAACATGATCTCAGTTGTCTCGGAATCCCTACTATCGTTAAGCTGAGTATTTTCATGTATTATAGCTCTTTAGATCAATGCTTCTTTGCATACCTTCAAAAATGACTCATAATCCCATAAAGGTCCACACAAAACATCCCCATGAAAGTCACATTTACGAGTTTTAGGAAAGGTGTCAGAGATCTCCTTATCGTTGTAATTCAGACTGTCGTACTTTCTCAATGGAATGAATTATAGTAAGGGCCCAATGTAACACTGAGGGTTTACCACAACAGAATAGATATTACCCTATACAGTCAAAAGCTATGCAAAACCTGTTGTTTTGAAACGGAGCGCTAAACTCTCAAGAGTGACTGTTTTACGAGTTTATTTATTTATTTATTTGATTTTCTTCTTCTGAATTCTCCCTCTTTCTATTGAAATAATTGATTATAGTCGTTGGCTGGTGTGCCAAAGCACTTGATCTTCTTTCGCTAACGAACATTACTGCTGTAAAGGTTTACTCAACAAACATTTCTAGGATAGTCCCTGCCAAGAATTAGCCCAGCATTATAGCCAATCCACGAAGCATTAAGATGCCCACCGTAGGTTTCATGTTTTGATAGAACATCTGATTTGATAGATAGCCAACGAAAAAGAAAAATTTTTTGAGGTCGCTTGTGCAGAGGCAGATCATTTATCGAACACAAAAAGTGCAAATATGCGCAGGAAGAATTAACTATGGATTTTTAGATACTGTGTAAGTGCCACTGAAAAAACCACTATAAACTCCAGAAAAAAAGCACGCATATTGTTGGACTATCACACTGCTGATGGTATTCCTGCAAATGTGTGATTAGTGACGGAACAAGACAATCCGGGTGATTTTCAAGGGCTATCAGTGATCTCAAAGGCTTTTCTTAGATTCCGACGTTAACAAGTGAAGAATGGTATCCACATCTTGCTGTAGTGCAGAAATGTGATATTGCTTTCTCAAAATGACTTAGGGGTGCGTTTTCAACAAGAGTATAACGCACCAAAATTTGAAGTCTACGAGAAAACATGGCTGTTGAAAGGAAATGCGTTCGCAAGAAACAAAAGACCTGAATGATTCAGAAACTGATAGTCAAGCATTTAATGAATCCAGATAGTGTAGAACTTTAGAGCATTGAATGCTACACAATGATAATCAACTGTTACTAGGGGAATTTCGAAGAGTTATTGCCTTATACAGCGTGTGCTAAAAAATGTCACACTATTTTATCGCTAATAACTCTTATGTCTCAATGTCTTTTGCCTATCTTTAGATACCATTGCGTACGTGGTTCGAACATAGATTACAGTATGGACCGAATCACCGATCTCTCTTCATAACTGTAGGACTACGATAGAATCTTGGGAAGGGTGTTGAGCCAGCCATTAGCAGTCATATTTTGACTCAAAAAAGTAAAAAAGAAGCTAAACTCTCATACCTCTAGTCGTCGCCTCTGAATATGCCAGGTTTACCGTGGCAACTCTTCAAAGTTTTTCGAAAGTGTGCTCACTTCGTCAGAGAAGCTTATAAAAGCTCGTAAACTGTGTAGCAAAATCAGCATGCTTAAAAATCTTGCTACTAATTTTCCAACGTTCTTGGATTTTTGTCAAATGACCTAGTTCACCATGACTATGCATGCCGAAAGTTTCTACCGTAATTCTACAGTGAAAAGCTCTCTAAATCGGACTGTGTCCTAAGGACTACCGTACCTTGAGAGCAGCTAAAGGCGTCAGAGCAAGTGAGATATAAACGATTAACGGTTGCACATTTTTGGGAGATCACATGGTAGGGTGAGCGCATAATGTCTTGACTGTACCACATCGTAAGTGAAAAAAGGTAGTCATACAAACATTCATGATCTGCCTTCCATCTACGGTTTTCAGCAAGTGACAATCTATGAAACATTCAGCCATCAACCATCGAATTTCAGGATCAAAAGTTTGGATTTCTCTTTTACGAATTTTGAGAATAAAAGATGCCAGGTATGGCAGAGCCTACCGCGATTATTAACCGCGTAGAAGACGGGACTTTGCGAAATTTTATTAAAATTTGATTGAAAAAGACCTCCTCGTAAGTTGTTATAGGGAGCTTTGAATTAGAAACCCCTTTTTCTGTATGTCAACGTTCAATTTTCCATATATAAGAGAAACCTGTGTATGTTCCTACGCTCAAATCAAGTCGATGTTCAATTTAAGGGATAGAAACGAGCTCAAAAAAGCTGCAATCAAGTCCACATCTAATGACTTGCGACGGAATGGATTTTACCACTTTTTCTTCATTGGAAGTGGAGACTACATTCTTTTTTCATGACGAAGATGAGCCACCGGAGTTCCATAATTGCATTGCTTCTGAATTTTGAAAAACTGTTATATCGTAAAGTTTGCTTCGACCCATTAGATTTTATCCCTCAAAAATTTTGTTTGACATGATATCAACTTATTGGAGTTATTTATATGTGTACTGAAAACGTCATAAGATAAAGACGAAAGCTTGAGGAGGTGAATCCTACGCGATCTTACAGAATTTGTTCATTTCTATCTCAAAGGCATGGTAAAGAATTTCAACAGCACACACCAATCTAATAAATGCATACACCTATGTTAGGAGTTGTCGAAAAGCGCAGAATAAGTCAGGCAGCACTGAAGAAATGGTAGAAAAGCAGTGCGGACGCTTCGAAGAATCTGGACAAAGCAGCGTAGAAAAGCCAAAATTAGAATAGAGTGAAGGACTGAGTGAGGAATGAGCGACGGATGGTGACGAGCTGAAAAACGAATAGCGCACGCCGCGCAAACACCGCGCAATTCGCTACATCGCCTACTGGACGTCAAAACAACGATGCGAGCATCTATCCTGATATCAGCACTGCATACTGATACGTTAAGGATTCTAAGGGCAGAGCAAGACCAAAACACCATAAAAAGGAGGTGACGGTGAAGTCTACAGTCACACAGCACGTCAGAAGGCTTCCAGCTAGACCTCTCAGGGTTTTTACATTTCTTTGAGCGTAGACCCAGCCTGATGCAAGATTGAACGTTGCAAATCGATGATGCGATCAAGCCTTGCTCCTCAATGCATCACCTCCTCCTTCCACGAACTAACATTGGAGAACCGGAATTGAACGGCAAGAGACTCTTCACAATTCTCTCGTTGCGGGTGACTTTTTTCTGCTCCGAGTAACTCGACAGTAATAGTAGAGATCTAGCCGGGATCTTGCTCATTATGTCGCATAAGTGGACGTTAAATTTATTATCTGATATTTTTCCAACCAAAGGCGCTTTGAGTAAGTGCCTCTGGTTGGAAAAAGCCTGAAATCATCGCCTTTCTTTCAAGGCCCCACTACAATCTTTGGCACTTTGGCATGAACTGTATATATGGACTGCGCAACCGGCGAAATGGAAAGATTGCCTAAAGGCAGCGTCCAGACAGATTCGAGCCTTGAGGACCACGCCCACTTCCTCGCACGGCCAACCCCTTTTGAACAATTCCTCAGCCCTTGACGTGTTTTCACATGGCAAACACAACATCGAACACACAGCGTTTACCTGTTAATGCTTGTTTCGGACAACGGTAGCATAGGAAACACTCGCTCGGGTTTTTTAAATAGCCCCAAAAAGTGGTTTTTTGAGGAATTCACGCTTTTTGAGTGAAATATTTGGAATCAGCGCCATGAAAAGGCCTGAATGACATAAAATACTGGAAGTCGATAAACTGCCTGGAGACTGCCTCTGAAAACATTCGTTTGTTCGGCTTAGAAAAAAAAAAGAAAATTCTCAGCTGTTTGGGCAGAGTAAGACGGGGGAAATGCTCTACAAGAAAATTTCTACATCGCTGGGAAAACCTTGCTTGGGCTGAATGTCTTCTGAAGAAAACATATTTACCCACATGTTCCCTTCGTTACATGCTAAAGACAAGCATCAGCGAGGTGCGCGGAGAGGCAAGAAGAAAAGAGATAAGAAGATCACTGCAAACCAGACAAGCGAAGAAGCTTCGCAACATGCACAGAACTGTGCCGCACCTCAAGAGTAAAAAAGAGCAAATAGTGGACGCTCTCTATAAATTATAGCTGAACGTCAATGGATTTTATTGTGACACTCTTCTACCACAAACGACGGATGGGATATGATTTGTTCTTGTTGTGGCGATGCAAATATTCACTTGTCATCAATTTATCGTTCCAACCTACATGGAAACCCTTAAGTGATCTTATCTGCGCTCCCACACACCACTCATTCTTTCATTAGAAGATTGAAAGAGGGTAGACGTTTTCGTTTACACTGCACTTTTCTCACATCGACTCAGGTTCCTCTCTTGTAGCATTCGACAAGGAGCACAAGAACAAGCCGGTAGGCAGCCAAATCTACGGTGACAGCGGGCGAAATAGACCAGTCATGTGCAAATTCTATAATCTGGCTAACTTTTCGATTACCTTAGGAGAAAATTGCATGTATTAGATGGCGATGGACAATTTATAAATTCGAAGCCTCTCGTCGTATGTAGCGCAAGAATTTAGTACGATCAAGAATGTAACATCGACTTTTTAGCGCAGAACAAATCGAAGATAGCACGAGAATTGTGGGAAATTTACTCAGCCTGAGATGCTGTAATGCACATCAAATGTAGGTGACTTTATAGACTAGTCTATCAAACGATTTAGAATATTTCCAGAAATCGGGTCAAGTTCTCCATTGCATAAATAAACCCTATACTAAAATATACTCTCAACTACAGCGCAATGTAAGAGATAGTATACATGAGCGTATGGTAACAAAATGCAAATTATCGCCCTAAACATTGTGTGAACGTTTAAAATTACACAAAAAAGCTGATCTATTTGTGAAATATCAAAAGAAAATGAATGTTCCAAGTTTTTTACGAACATAACCATATGACTGCGCTTTTGTAGTGCAGGCTGTAGTGAACGAACCTATCCGCAGGAGGATACTGTAGTTGGTTTGTGTACTCACTGTAAAGAGGAGGCTCGCGATATTCAGGTTTTCTAGATTGCCTTCTAGTATATACAGCGGTAAAGATTATACAACTCTGTTTTTTAGTGTGAAAACGAAAACTTAAAGATGAAGCAACGCGGCTAGAAAATAAGAGTTGCAATCTATGCTTGAATAACGACCGATTGAATCAAAACTGGAAACTCGAACTGTCATACTCTTTTCTCGAGAGAAACAGGCAGAGTGCAGAGAGCGACAGTGATGGAGATGAAGTAAAACCAGCTATGCACTAAGTGCAGCAATAGCAGTAAAGTAACATCGAGTCGCACAGTAGCTCGTCGACACAGAATTCGACCACAGATACAGTCTGTAGAAATTTAATTATACGTAAGCGTATGTTGGTTCCCACAAACGAATCTGAGCCATGTTGAAAAGTCGAAGGGCGAATTTCGCCAATTTACCTTCATATAAAAACGAATCTTGTCAACCTGCAGTAGTAGATCACTTTCCGGCGATGTTGCTGTCATTCAACTGCAGCATTAAAATTTTCGGTATCAAGCTGTAAGAGCTTTTTACGTATCATATCTTGTTCGCTAGAAGAATACGCACTCAGTAAACTGCGCTTTCAGCCACTCTTTGTTCCTGGATGAAGAGTTTGTATACATAAAAGAACTACGATGCTTACTAAAAAGCCAAGGAGGATCGTGAGCTTTGATGAAAGGTGTTCTCAGTGCCCTCTAAAAAAAACTATCTATTCTCTCATGCGCAAGCGGGATAGAACAAATAGATTGATAAGAATGTCCAACACACATAAATTGCTTGAGCTGCAGATAGGGTGTGCAAAAGCTGCAAGTGATGATGATCATTCGGAAGATGAGTGGCGTCGTAGTTGTGAAGTACCTCCCACAAAATTCTGGGCCACTAAAGTGAACAAGAAAGTTGTCAGCTTCTGTGGTTAGAGCATATGTGACCAGCTTCTGTGGATAGAGAATTTTTTTGAACGTTACAGAAAGTACAGTCGGTAGACTTTTGCATCAAATAGCAAAAAAGAAAAGCGAATCTAGTGTTCTGTCTTATAAATGGGCGAAATAAAAATAAGTACCGAAAAACGGAACTTCACTGTGAACACAGCTCGAGAATCCAGTTCATGCTGAAGGACAAATTGAAAAAAGAAACGCTGCCAAGTGCTGAGTTAGTTCAACCACCTTTTTCTGCCAACCCTCATATACACACAGTTCGTGCGCTCGCCGCTGCCAGACAGGGACGCCTCTCCCACTCTGGTAAGCTGAGTGGCTTCGCACTCGCATGCGATGGATGTGCCCCAGTCAAGGTGTTCCTGCTTTCCAGCAACACGTGTTGCGAAGTCTGCGGCGAAGACGACGTGCATGAAGGCAAGAACAACGATCTACGCGTGGAGAAAATTCTCGACTCTATTTCCGATTGCATTGACATCGATTTTAAATCGGGAAAAACTTGCTCTGCCTTTGCGAAAGTGAAAGGATGGAAAACGCGCCACTAGTCAAGGAAATCAAATCATGGTTGCATATCTCAAATTTTCTCAAAGAAGAGTGATATATTTCTGCAGTTTTTACAGCCTCTAAAATATATAAGCACAGTCTGTGCAGACAGATTTTCGCGCTCTTTCCTATACAACAATTTTGTCGCTCGGATATCACAGCTAGAGCTCTCGTAAGCATAATGTTATGCAAATTGATGTTTCTCCTCTAGTACTCATCCTTAGCATTCTTAGATTGTATTTCAGCACGAATTATCGATCGTCGACGTCACACATTACGATGCTTTCTTTCTCAGCAAGCTCAAAACAACTTTGAAGCTAAGTGATAGCAGAGTAGGTGAAAGGAACAGTGCCATCGCCGGAAAGTGAAATCCCAATTTTGCGCATTAAGAGAAAACTATGGAAACTGTCATCAAAAAAGACAAAAATGTTCATTTGGTGCAACCTTGGCGAGAAGGAGTTGTGGCCGAACTGCAAGCAAGCTTGACCATTCTCAAATCGTGGCATTAGAGTTCGCCTTCAAAAAGATATGAAACAGCAGACATAAAATGTGTAACAAAAATCATGCGGCACACGTCCATTTTTTGAAGAAACGCTAACCTCTAGCATTCTTCTACTAGTCAGTAGCAAAGGTAAAGGTAGTTAGTTTGGCATCCAAAGAGCAAAGTAAAGAAACGGTGAGACATTCTTAGAAAAGAAATCGATGGGTTGACCTTTTGAGTACAAATAAAAAATCTGCATACGTTTCAGGATTAGAAACAATGCAACACATTATCACGAGATGGTTCATCACAGGTGTGAAGGTGAGGGTGATTTATTTCCATTTTCAAACTCAGTGCCACAGTCTTCGCCAGTGGCATGAAAATACACTTACGGTATACACCAAAAACAATATAAAAGTTTGTTTTAGTAATGAGGCGACCAAAGAAGTTCCGCAAGAACCCGGTTTTGCGCCCGACAAATGTGCACTCGGAAAGCGGCCCGCCGCACGCAACTATCAGAAAAACTCCGAATGCGAAAAGTGGACTCTGGTTTAGAATTCGTGCTCGAGGTACAAAGAGCGATTCACAATCGCACAACTACGAAAAGTTGTTAGCTTAAGCGAGTGAAAAAGTAAATTGCCTCCACCCAGCGCAATTTTCTCTCAAAGCCGCAACACATTTGGTAGCGAAGTAATTTTGCTACCTTGACTAACAATGTGAATGCTTAAATAACCGATTTTGTGAGTCCACTAGAGATAGCTGCAGAAAGACTTTACTGGTACATTGTTACGCGCCCACACCTTCAGTTCGGTATTTTTGCAAACGCTGTCATACTCTTAGCATTGCTCAGAAAGCCGAACCGCTACAGTTTGAAGCGACGACCACCCATCTCTATTCAAAAACTGAAAGAGATGCACCATCGGGACAATTAATGGCCTGCAATCTGCAGATAGCGTTTCGATAGCAGCCAAAAAATGCAAGTCGTTACAAACAAGGGATTTTCACACGTAGCACATACTTTTTCAACGTTTTCATTTTTTTGGTTAAGGTTTGTGACACCTCTTTCACACGAGGAAATCGATAAAATCGCAATAGAAAACTATGATAACATATTTACCACTGAGATCCAATTAGAATGACAAAACAGAATCATCATTTGCGGCCATTTTCGAAATTCAAGAGCTTGAGAACGACGGCATTTGAGGAGCAACAAGACAAAAAAGACAAGATGTTCTTGAGTTTTTAGAGAAAACCCTCCAGAAAATGCTTGGGTACAA